TTTTCAATTTCTGTTGATTTTTCTTAGAACACTATTTATGGTAGGTAGTATTTCTCTTTTTCTTTAAAGTCTTACAACGCTAATAAAAGTGTTTTATCCTTGAACTACATCAAAATAGCAAAAAAATTAAAGTAATACAAAATTGAAGCTACAATCCCTCGTTAATACGTTAATTCATTAACTTTTTCCAATTATTTCCTAGTATTAAAAATCTACAGAGGTACAGCTGCTCAGTAAAATACTTTAACATTGCTTTAAATATCTACATGCATCAACGATCGGTCTGTGAGCCAAGACGCTTAATAAAAATTAAAATTTAGTTATATACAGGGTCGGCCATTATTATAAAATACCTTTTTGTACTAATTTTCGTAAAATTTGATTCGCAATTGATAAAAAGAATAGAATAATCACTAATATTAACAGTTGACAAATATATGGATGAATCGTGTTTTTATAATAATGGAATAACCTGTATATTATAAAAATTGTGATGATTTTTCTGTAAATTTCTATTTTTTTTCTTGTGAAAACTGGCCTACTATAGAAAAATTTGAATTATTTTTCGCTAAATGCACAGTCGAAATAAGTTAGATAAACTAAAGTAAGTACACTTTAAGTATAGACTACAATCACACTTTTTGAAAGAGAAAATCAGTAATTGTCAAATATAATAGCAGCAAGCCTCAAAATACTATTTTAAATTTGTATTAATGTGTATATTCGCTTCTCATACCGTTCACAGGAAGGATGTTCGCCAACAACGAAAGGAATGATAAAAGGGGAGCACATTTAAAAGGGGGTGGCGATTATTTTGGAAATTTGGCGACTAAACATCTACAAGTGAGCCACTAACCTTTAAATATGGCGACTATGCGGCACATTGCTTAAAATATATGTTATCAAAGTCACGCATATGGTACGTTTTCATCTTATATTGTTTATTTTACTTATTTTTCAATGATCAAAACGTAATTTATTAGTCGTATTTTTATGTTTAGGCTCTGTGCATACATTATTAATATAGAACTTCAAAAATATTTCATTACGCGTTTTCATAGTTTAAGGTTTCCATACCGTTTTGTGTTAATTAAAAACGTTAAAGACACTATTTAGCATTATAGTGTCATGATGATGTCATTTGGATGTTGGCATTTGCTAGAAATTGTCTATTGAATAATAAAGGACAGGTGTGTCAACCGTCAACTTAAAACGATGTCTTGTTTTATTTCATTTATAATAATTAATTAATTAATACAAAATAAAGCAAGACATCGTTTTAAGTTGACGGTTGACACACCTGTCCTTTATTATTCAATAGGCAATTTCTAGCAAATGCCAACATCCAAATGACATCATCATGACACCTAGTAGCTACAAAAATATGATTAAAAGTGAATCAGTAACAAGGAGAGATTTAGCAACCCAATATCTACGAGTAAGTCATAATCACTTTAATATGGCGACTCTGACACACGCTGTCTAAAATATATGTTAAAAAATTATGTACGTCACGCTGTCCCACCTAATATATTATGTACTTTATACTTATTTACTAATGTTAACCATCTTATGCATTGAGTCCACTCCAGTGGACAGAATTTTGTAACTGCAAACAATATATTTTAATTCCATGAAACTTATGCAAAATGCATGAAATCCCTTTCAGTGGACTCTAATAAAATAATTACTACCGACATCTACAATATTTAGTTTGAAAGTCGAAGCTTGTGTATGTTAGTATCTATAAATCACCTTACCGCGATGGCCACCTATGAGTTGTTTAAAATAAGTGCCCGTAGTTTCTATGGAAAAGCAAAAAAGGTAAGAAAATATTTTTCTTCTAGAATGATGTATTTTATACAATTAGCATTTTTTATAATTTCTTTAAAATAATTGAAAAACTCACTGAAAATATCACCTTGAAGTGATGTCCACTAGAGTGGACATCATGCAATATGTAACTTGGAATTATACTTTTGTGGTATGTTTTACAAGTATAATTTTCAGAAGATTATTGTATTTCTTGTTCACATATTTTTGTTATTTTCTTGTCAAAGATTTATTATTTATATGGGGATTTTCGAGGGCATTTTTTATATTCTTGCCTATATTATTATAGTGGAAATAAATAAATCTTATTTATTGATATAATATCTTACTTCTTTAATGGGAAATTTTATTCTATTTCAGAAAGTACTTTTTGCCGATGAAGACGACAATAGAAATGAAATACCTTTTTGTTTGTAAGAAAATGAAGAAGGTATTGTTAATGATGACATTGTTTATGATTTACCTATTCCTATTTATGTATTCGCTCGAACATGTAACCGCTGAAGACCAAATTATTGAAAGTAACTTAAAATAAATACAGCCAGAAAACAGTGACGATGATATGAGTCAAGATGATATTCCATTAGCTCAGCGTATTTTGGCATTTTCATCAAAACATCAAAACAATCAAGAGAAAAAATCAAAAAAAGCTGAGAACAAAGACTGGAAATTGTGCAATAATGACAGCATGTATGGGCCAGCAACTTGTCCAAAGTTTAGAGGAACACAAAATTCTTGTCTAAGAGAACAATTCCATTGAATATTTTTGTTCACCGCACACATAATGAATGATATCGTCTTTCAGACCAACTTATGCTGGCCAAAACAATAAATTAAATTTTAGTTTTACAAAATATGAGTTATATGGTTATCTCTTGGTTATTTCTTTCTTTAAAAACCATACAAACGAAAAAACTGGAATATCTGGGACACATAATGAGAGGAGAAAAGTACTCTCTGCTTAGACTCATAATCCAAGGAAAAATCTCGGGAAGGAGAAATGTGAGACGTAGGAAGATTTCCTGGTTGCGAAATTTAAGGGAGTGGTATGGGTGCAGTTTAAGATTGCTGTGATGGTAGCCAACCTCCGATAGGAGACGGTACTGCAAGAAAAACCTTTCTTGGGCATAAATTTACTGATGGCGTATTGGAATTTTGTACTTGGCAACACTGGCTTACAATGTCTTAAGTGATTCCGGTTGTCATATGTCAATTGTAAAATATATATTTTCTAGAATGTAGCACATGTTTAGTTTTTAGTACTTTTGTAAAATAAAGTAATCAAATAATTCACTGCTATCTCTGTATTACCTCACTGGGAAACAACAAATTCTAATATGGCGTACATTAAATATTTCAGGATACGACTTTACTGGTCAAGTGATAATGGCCCGAGGATGGACCTTATTGCAGATGCTATGCCTGTTAATATATTTGAATCTATTTTTAGGTTTTTACATTTCGTAAATGATGATAATATTAATCAAGAGGATCAAGAGAATCAGATCCAGAGGAATACCAATCAATTGATGAGCAAATTATTCCACTAAAAGGAAAATTAGGTATAAAGCAATATTTACCAAAGAAACCTAAACGGGGGGAAGTCAAAGTTTGGGTAAGAGCTGGAATTAGTGGATATATGTATCGTTTTAAGGTTTACCAAGGAGATTCGGGAGACAGAAGTCAGAACTACATCAGAGCTGATGTAGTTTTGAGTCTCACTGACGACTTAGAGAGAATCAATTATAAAGTATTTTTTGATCATGTATTTGGCTCACTTCCTCTTATTAAATAACTGCATACAAGAGTTATATGGGCGACAGGAACTCTCTGATTGAATCGACTACAAAATTGTAATTCTGTTATAAAAAGAGATAAACAAATGCAACAATAGGGTAAAGGAACTTCATCCGTTGCAAGTACTGAAGGTGACAATATTGTTTCTAAATGGCTGAACAATAAGACTATTTACATGGTTTCTAATTGTGCTGGAATAGAACCTCAGAATAAAAGAAAACGCTGGTGTAAATCTACTAAGACTACTATAGAAGTGAACAGACCATTCTCTGCTCAATTTTATAACAAAAACATCGGAGAAGTAGACCTGATGGACCAGTTGTTGGCCTTGTATCCTCTAAGGAGAAGAAACAAACTCTAATTCATAAAAGTTTTTATGCATTTTCTGGATGTTCTTGTTGTAATTGTAAAAGAAAAACAAAAATCCAAAAAAGGATCTGTTTGAATATTAAGCAAGTATTGCCAGAGCATTAATAAATTTGGGAACGCAGAAAGAAAATAAGCGAGGTAGACCTTCGTCTGGTACACCACCTCCCATTTTGAAGAAGAAGAAACTGAATCATCATGCACCCCCTGAAATTAGACAAAGTAATTGGGGGCACTGGCCACAATTAATTGATATACCAAATGCTACAACATGTCACTCTAAAGCTTGCAAAAGAAAAACAAAATACATCTGCAAAAGGTACAACGAGCCGATGTGTCCATCATGCTTTGAACATTTTAATAACAGTAACTGACGATTCTGCAAGTGCATAGTAACCACTAGAGTGAACGGACTATTTTTTTTTTAAATAAATTTTATGTTTTTACACTTACTATAGTATTTATTTCCTAATGATAATTTTTAATATTTCGCAATAAAATAATTTTTCTAAGAAAAAAAATTTCCTTAAAATTATGCATAAGAGGGTTAACGTCGACATTAAGTTATTTTGATGTTCCGTACCAGTATAGGCCTTTTCATCATGCGATGAGCGCATGCGAAGCCGCCATGCGCTTCGTACAATTTTGATCAACAATTGAGAGGTTATGTAAGACTACTTGTTTACCATAAAAATAATATCTACAATAATTTTTTACTCTAATTAATGATGTCAATCATTACTTTCCGAAATATAATAATTAAAATAATTATTATTATAGTGTATAATCAATACAATAGAATTCATTTATAAAATAATACGTAGGTATTGGCTTTACTATACGAAAAAAATGGCTGACACTATTTTTTGATGAAATGGTCTATGAAACGTATCAAAATTTTGATACTTATAATACTGTAGACTACAAAATGTATGCAAATCTTTTATTATTGTTCATATTAACGTATTTAGGCCAACAACAATTATTCATTCTATAGCTACATCGAAAAACATTGCTAAACATTTTAAAACGCTTCCGTCACTGTAATTAAGGCACTATCAACAACGAATCCATATTGGACAATTACTGTTCCTCCCTTAAATTAATTTAAGTAACGATAAAAATTAATTCGGTAAAAAAATACGAAAAAAAGGGCATAACACGTTTTTACAATGTCTACAACGTCATTTCCCTAATTGGTCTAGCTTTATGCTATAATATGTATGCTATCGATTGAAGAACCGTAGCAGAAGTCTTCTCCTCGGTGGAGCGACGGGTTCACTGGGCATCTTCATTTTTATTTCTTGGTTGGACAGCTTGTTTTTGAGCTGTTCGTCGAGCAGTTCGTGCATATCCATCTGAAAAGGTACAATCATTAGTAAGTGCGAGTTAGAAATAGTTATTGGGACCGTGCAAGTTCGGAACAGCGACACCTTGTGTCGTAAATCAGCAAAATTTACTGCGCTTTCATGTTAGATCGAGGTTACCGGATAATTGTCAAGTACGTAGCCCCAAAAAAGAATAAGAAGAAAATATAAGATTGAGGTTATGTCGGTATGTTATTAGGTAAAGGTAAACGTTGTATGTAGTGTAAATACAAATAAATATATTATTAAATTACAGCACTACTGTTAATATGGATGCAATAATAAAAACTGGATTTGAGAAAGTAAATCACCAAATAACTTTTCAACCAAGCACTGAGTCAAATGGAAAAGCTTTAGTAGTGGCAAATGTAAAAAAAGAATGGAAGAATTATGTGGAGTGAATTAAGAAAAATAAATTACCATAAATAATGCTAATGCATAAATTAGCAGGTTAAGTTCATATCATCATATTGGTTTGAACAATTAATTCTTTCCCTGTAAACTTTTAGACAGCGATTATATCTTAATGCATCTTCAGAAAAACTTGAACTTGATGCATTTTTGTAAACTTCAAACAAATAAAATTGAAACATTAAACTTGATTTTTGGGTTAAAATGAACTCTAAGTGAGTGTTATGAAACTAAAATTTACACTTAAAAGTGAACTTTTATTTATTATTTATTTCAAACTGACTTTAAAATCGGGCGAGAGAATAATGCATAATTTAGGTTATGTTACTTATGCTTTTTTATGATATAAATCCACTTTTCTCTTTGTAGTAATTTGTGCTTCGAAGTTGGAAACGAATAAAACTTAAATTGACAATTTTTTGTTGTATTTTTACAATTTATATCACAGCATTTCCTAAATCCCATTTTCTTCAGTGACAGAAGGTGTAAATAGACAAACGAATATGAAATATGACAATTGACAATATGAATTTATGAAATCTATGAAATTTGCAGTAAAAAATGCAAGATTTCTCCGCTACTCGCGCACGATCGTTTCTCGTATCACATCCAAGTACTTGCACGTCGCCAATACGAGTTGTAGGAGTTTTAGTATATTGTCAAGTGAAGTGTAAATAGTATATTTATCTCATATATGTATAAATGACAGGCAAAATTATTTTGCAAAAACTATTGAATCGATTTTAATGAAATTTTGTTTGATGATTAAACATATTAACATGTACATAGTTTTCTTCCTTGAAATATAAATGTCCTTAGTTTGAGTTTGGTATGGGAAAAAACTCGCAAAAACCTTTTTTTAACTGTTTTTTTTTGTGTTGTTTAAGACGCCTTAATGTAGTTGTCCCAGTGCTTTCTCGAAGACATGCTCCGAGAACATGTTAAATAGCATCGGAGACAGAATGCATTCCTGTCTCACTCCTCTATCTATGAAGATTATCTCTGTCAACTGGTCATCCATTTTAATGATGGCAGTTTGGTGGTAATATAAATTATATACAGAGTGGCCCAAAAGTCTGGAAACGACCAATTATCTCGTAAATTACTAGACATGATTATACAAAATTTAAGATACGCCTATTTTGGGATACGGAGATTCCATATTTGGTATTTGCAATGTTGCCAGATTTTCAGTTTCTCTTATATTACTAGTAACTTTGGTTTTTCAAATGCATCACCCTGTATATTCAGTCACTATTGGAATCTCCTATTAAATACGAGTTCAACCATATAAAACACTTATGATTTTATGTAGTATGGAAGGTCTTAAATACATAAAACAGAAGTCTGGCAACGCCTAAATTGTTTCAATACATCTTTTAATACTAACTATTTTCAAATATATTAAAACGTAACAATTGATAGTTTAGAATATTTTTTAACATAATAGTTACGTTATTAAGTGTTCAAAATGTGCTCCATTTGTAAGTTGATAGCACTCTAATCGATGGTAGAATGCGTCTACCACATTCCTCCGTGATTGTCTAGAAATTTGCTGGTTAAGTTTTGTAAACTGAATTTTTCAAGTATCTCTAATAAAAATTATCTTTAGGATTGAGATCGGGTGAACGTGGAGGCCATTCAATTCTACCTTGTCTACCGATTTATCGTCCGGGAAATATCTCATCTAAATAACGCCGAACATTTACACCAACTATCTGACGTTATATTTCTTTCGATAAAAAATGGCCCAATTAAATAAGTACCTACTATAACTGACCATACAATTTTTGTGGTCTTTGAGTATGGTTTTCACGCATTCAGTGTGAATTTCACACGAGTTCAGCTATTCAATACTAGTTCAACCATATGTTCACTTGATTTTATGTAGTCTGAAAGATCTTAAATACATAAAACAGTGCAAAATATGTAGATTTTAATAAATTTAAATATTTAAATGGAGAATGCTGTGATTTCGACATTTGTTCACCATTTAAATTATGAACTAAAATTGACAGTAGTTGTGGTTCAAAAAGTTCTGCAATTTAAATTGCTTCTCTAAAATGCCGTTCTCGAAACCGTTCTCCTATTCATAAGACGACGGTACAAAAACTGTGACTTGAGGAATCTGGAGAAGTAAAAGATAGATACCGGTCAGGTTGACCGAAACTAGTTATCAATGACAACAAAACTTGACAGGGTTGCACAAGTACATGATGTAGGTCATTCTTCAGTCTTACGTTTATTACGTAAAAATAAATTTAAATCATACAAAATTAACTTATTGCAAGAATTAAGTGAAGATGACTTTGGTCGTAGATTAGAGTTTACTGAGGTAATGATGGATAAAGTTAAAAATTATTAAAATTTCGTTAACAGAAAATGTTTTTCCGATGAAGCAACTTTTACACTGTGTGGAAGTGTAAATCGACACAATTTAAGGTACTGGTGTGACGTAAATTCACACTGAAGACTGAATGAGTGAAAACCATACTCAAAGACAACAAAAGTTAAATGTATGGTCAGATATAGTAGTTACTTATTCAATTGAGTCATTTTTTGTCGAAAGAAATTTACTGTCAGATAGTTGGTGTAAATATTCGGCGATATTTAGATGAGCTATTTCCTGAACGATAAACTGGTAGACAAAGTAGAATTGAATGGCCTCCACGTTCACCCGATTTTAATCCTAAAGATTATTTTTATTAGGGATACTTGAAAAATTCAGTTTACAAAACTTAACCAGCAAGTCTTGCATAGCTAAGGCAATGAATTATCGATGAATCTCGAATAATTTCTAGACAATCATGGAAAAATGTGGTAGACGCATTCTATCATCGATTAGAGTGCTGTCAACTCACAAATGGAGCACATTTTGAACACTTAATAACGTAACTATTATGTTAAAAAATATTTTAAACTATGAATTGTTACGTTTTAATGTATTTGAAAATAGTTAGTATTAAAAAATGTATTGAAACAATTTAGGCGTTGCCAGACTTTTGTTTTATGTATTTAAGACCTTCCAGACTACATAAAATCATAAGTGTTACATATGGTTGAACTCGTATTTAATAGGAGATTCCAATAATGGCTGAATATACAGGGTGATGCATTTGAAAAACCAAAGTTACTAGTAATATAAGAGAAATTGAAAATCTGGCAACATTGCAAATACCAAATATGGAATCTCCGTATCCCAAAATAGGCGTATCTCAAATTTTGTATAATTATGTCTAGTAATTTACGAGATAATTAGCCGTTTCCAGACTTTTGGGCCACTCTGTATAAGTCTCTCTCATCCAAGCCTGCTTCTTTCAAGAAGGATATGAGCTTGTCATGTTTTACTTTTACTAATGTTTACATTTTTTTACTTGAGCTTGTCATTTGAAATCCACATTGTGTTCGTGACATTTGTTCTTCCCTGAGATTAAATGAGTAAACTTCAATGAGTTACTGACTGAGACTCAAACAATCTTAATGCAAGCGCACTACTTTTCTTATGTGGTAGTCTACTGTGTTGTCATTAATTCATCGACTGTCACTTCTGGCTATTAATACCAACAGTCACTGCTGCCACTGTCTGCACCGTCTAAACACCATCGACAATATAAAATAGTATCGAGTACATAACGGCAGTAGTATAGTGAAGAGTAAAGATATGTCGGTACTAAAGTCTCTGCCGTTTTGAAAAAAGTCTCTAGAAGTGAAATCAAAATCTCGTGATGACATTATAAGTTTAATACGTAACGATATTACTTACCTGCCACTGTTCAAGTTGTTGACTCAACTCCACCTTCTGTTGAACCGTCTCGAGCAGCTGGCTATTGGCTTGCATAAGTTCCACTCTGGTTTTGGCCAACTCCACCTCTACTTTGATCCGCCTTTGAACGGCAATGTCTCGGTCTTCGCGCGCTTTCGCTACAACCTCATCTTGAGCCAATGAAGAATCTGAAGCGTCGTGCATGGCTCTGTCGCGCTGTTCTAACGCGGATGCTAGTTCGACCTCACACACTGAAGCCTAAAACAATATAATAGTTAAAAAGACTACATTTTGGACAAATTCATTGAAATATTTAAAGAAGAAAAGGAGGAAGGAACTAAAAATGCAATGTTTTTACTTGTATCATGTGGAAAAGCATTATCGTTAGTACATGCCAAAAAGTGTGAAAAAAGAAACATGTTATGTTTGCGATATTACTGTTATTTTTAACTGAAACATTTAGCGTTTAAACTATTTCTTGTAGACGGAATATTTTGTATTAAAAAACTATGTTTAAATCTATTATTTAATTATATAATAAGTAATTTGGTTTCGACAATTAGAAATCTTCGAATTTCGAGTTTCGGGATTTATTATCAGATGTCGCTATTGCGTCCATATTGAAGCCATTTTAGTGTTGCGTCTATTATGACAGAAAAAATTGTTTTTCCGTTTAGAGCGTCTGTAAATATCCGCTCCGAAGATTCCTTTTAGGATGAAATACTAAATGTCTTTCCTTTTATATAATAAGTATTTCGTCAGCTTTTCGTTCACGAAAGATTAGTATAATTTACGTATAAAAGAATAAACGGATAGATATTTCTTATTTTGTTTTAATACTTACTTTTGTGTTGAGCTCCATGAGCCGTTCGCTTCTTCTAGCGAGTTCCTCGTCCCTCTCTTGTATTTCCCTTCGCGCTTGTTCTAGCCGTTCCAATATCCTCACTACGTCCGTATCTAACACTAAACCAACAAGTTCTTGAGCAACTTCCGTGAGCATTCCTGGAGCAAATCTACAAATTGATATAATACGCATTTAGTTGTAAATTGTGGCTTGTCCATGTATCAATAAACCTAAACGCAGAGTCGTATTCAAATATACCGAGACTATATAGCCATGTCATGTCATCAAACTAGGAAGCCAAATCAAGATGGTGAAATTAAAAAAAGAACACAACTGGCATGGGGCGCTTTTGGCAGACTAGAATATATCTTGAAAAACACCTCCATTCCTGTAAACTTGAAGAAAAAGGTGTATAACACATGCATTCTATCAGTTTGTACCTACGGCTTGGAGACAGTAGCCCTTACCAAATAATCTGCTGAAAAATTAGAAACAACGCAAAGAGCAATAGAACGCATCATGCTTGGAATATCACTGAGCGACAAGATTAGAAACACCGAGATAAGACGTAGAACGAAGATTAGGGATATTGTGGAAAAAATTACAAAAATGAAATGGCGCTGGGCAGGTCACGTAGCCCGATATAATGACAACAGGTGGACACGAAGAATTTTAGAATGGAAACCAAGGACGACAACAAGAAGCATGGGAAGACCTCAAAAAAGATGAGTAGATGACATAAGAGTAGTGGCAGGCAAACAGTGGATTAGATTGGCGCAAGATTAGATTGGAAGCAATTGGAAGAGACCTACATTCAGGGGTGGATGGAAAATGGTTGACAAAGAGAGAGAGAGAGAGAGAGAGAGAGAGAGAGAGAGAGAGAGAGATTCAAATATAGCGACGAAAAGACAATAAAATACAGGAATTTAGTTTTCTTATGTCATAATTTTCTATCTTTAATGTAAATTATCCACAATTTCAGTTTAAAATACGTTTATTTTGACGTTTCGATATCTACGGAAATCGTTCTCAAAATACAATTTAAAATTTGTAAAATTATGTTTGTAAGAAGCTTTTATCAGCCTGGAGCCACAGCTCTGCTTATACAAGAAATGAATGAAGCCAAAGCAGAAATCATGACTTTACAGTAAATGAGGTAGACTAGCTCAGGCATCCTGGAAAAAAATAACTGCAATATTTACTATAGTGGACATCCTACCCTACACGAATTTGGTACAGAATTTATTGTTAGCAGCAAGTTCAAACATAGTGTAATCAGTTTCAAAGCTATTGGTCATAGAATATGTCGAATAAGACTTAAAGGAAAGTTCGCTAATATTAATGTTATTAGCGTCCATGCTCCAACGAAAAAAAAAGAGGATGATCAAAAATACATGTTCTATGAGGCACTAGACCGAGAGTACGATGAATCGCCAAAAAATAACATCAAAATAATAGCAGCAGACGGATGCCAAATGCCAAAGTCGGAAGAGAGAATATATTTTCGCGCACCATCGGAAAAGAGAGCCTATACGTAGACTCTAATGATAACGGTTTCAGAATCATAAACTTTGTGATATCCAAGAACGTAGTAATAGCTGGGACACGATTTCCCCATAAAGATATACTTAAGGGAACTTGGAAATCTCCTGATAATGAAACGATTAACCAAATAGATCATATAATCATCGATGCAAGACAGTGCTCTAACTTTTTAGATGTTAGGTCTTTTGAGGGAGCCAACATAGATGGAAAATGGAAAAGGAAATGTGAGGGAATGGGAGCACCCATAAGGAACGACCATCTGTATACCCTCAGTTTCGCCGACGATCAGGTCATAATATCACAAGACGAGGAAGATCTAAGTCATATAGTTCGAAAATTAGAAGAAGAATATAATATAAATGGTCTGGAAATAAACATTTACAAAACAGAATATCTGAACACAACACAAGAACCAACAAGAAACCTAGAAGTAGATGACGGGTGTGAAATAAATGGAACCGAAATACCTGGGGTTCATTATATCAAATAAAGGTACTACAGAAGAAGAAATTAAAATCGAGTGGGTCAAACCAGAAACTCTATAAGATAACTGACACATAACAAAAATTAACAATAAAAAGAATTTATAACACGATGATTCGCAGCATTCCAACATATGGAGCAGAAAATTGGGTCTTAAACAAAAGCACCAGAAACAAAATAAACGCCACAGAAATTGTCTACTGGAGAAGAAGCTGCAGAGTTTCCAGAATGGACAAAATAACTAACGACGAAATCAAAAGACGAATGGAGAACATTGAAGAAAAAAGATTAACGTGGTACGGCCATGTCAGACGAACAGACCCAAACTGATGGATAGCAAAAATAACAGAGTGGAGGCCCATAAGAAAACGCAAAAGAGGCAGACCAAGAAGATCTTTCAGAGATGAGGTAGATGAAACCATGGAAAAAAGAGGATTGGAAGACGGAGAATAGGAGGACAAAAAAGAATGGAAAAAATGGTTGAGAGAAAGGAGACAGCGATAGCTGTAGGAACCTCTTTCATATATGTATATGTGTATATATATATATATATATATATATATAGTGATCACTGTTTAGTTACATCACGATTTAAAGAGAGAATATCCAATTTAAAAAAGGAGATCGGGAAAAAGAGAAAAAATCGACATTAAAAAACTAAAAGATCCCTCCCGACATTGCAAATGTATACAGACAGCAAATAAAAGATTAAATAAGCACAGAAAACTTAGAAGAAGAAGAAGACATTAACCAACTATGGGTAAATAGACAAGATATTGTGATTATGAGTGCCAAATGGCCACAAATAGAAAGAACGCAACAGCGTATCAAGAAATCATCCTCCACACAGTTTGTACACGGAAAATACAACAAGGGTATAAACGTCTTAGAAGACAAAAAAAACGTATCCATCGACGTAAGACAAGAGAATTGGAACAGAACACTCTCAATGGGATAAAAAAATTATTCGATAAAAATGGAACGAGGAAATACGACAAATCCTTAAATAATAGCCGTCGAGAATTTAAACCACGATTAAAAACATGATAAAAACGATACTGAAGGAGGTTACAACATAGAAAATCAACAAAATCTACAACTTCAACTACACAGTGAAGACCCAACAAGAAAAGTGTCAAATGGCATCCTAAAACTCAAAGACAATAAAGCCCCAGGAATCGATGAAATCTGTTCAAAAATGTATAAAAAAGATGGTGATCAACTTTTTGTAGCAATCCATAAACTAATACTACTTATATGGCAGAATGAATTGGTACCAGAAGAGTGGTTAAAGAGAATAATATGTCCGTTGCATAAAAAGAGTAATCAACTGGAGTGTAGGAACTATAGAGGCATTTCTCTGTTATCATCTGTTTAAAATCTTCGGCAATGTATTGTTTGAAAAACTTTTACAAAGGATATTGTTGGTTAATATCAATGCGTATTTACTGCTGGAAAATCAACTACACATCGAATTCAAGCACATAGGCAGATTTTAGAAAAGTCACTGGAATATAACATAGATACACACCATCTCTTCGTCGACTTCATAGCAACCTATGACAGTGTGAAAAGAACTGCATTATATAATGCAATTATAGACTTTGGGATCCCACCTAAGTTAGTTAAGTTGACCCAACTAACAATGCAAAACGTAAGCTCATGCGTTAGAATTGAAGAAGAAAACTCTACGTTCTTTGACATTTATAATGGTCTAAGACAGGCGAGAGGGGACAAATTCTTGCATTCGCTGACGATATAGTTATAGTGGGCAGAAGTCTAAGAGACATGGTACAGTATTTTACAAGGCTTGCGAAGGCGGCAAGTAAATTAGAACTTGTAGTAAACGAGGAAAACACCAAATATACGTTGGTTTCTAAAACCCCCCGAAATATCAAACAGAGAATTCAAATTAACGACCACAACTTTAAGCAAGTCAAAGAATTCACATATCTTGGATCGCTAGTAAACGCAACAAGCACGACAGTGCAGTGTAAAGCTCAATATATACAACACCTTAATATGACAGGCTTTGATATATGGGGCTGAAATGTGGATCTTATCTTAAAATGATAAAAGACTTTTGGGGTCGTAAATGAAAATGGGCTATGGCGTTGAAGATACAACTTTGAACTATATTAGTTATACACCGATCCAGATATTGTAATATTCATTAAAGTGCAGAGACTTAGATGGGCTAAACACATTGCTAGGATGTCAGATTAAGCATACACGAAGAGATTAACATTTTCAAAATCAGAGGAGACAAGAAGTAGAGGACGACCACGAAGGAGATGAATTGATGATGTGGAAGAAAACCTACAGATTCTAAGGGTCAGAAAAAGGAGGGAAGTTGCCAGGAATCGAGAGGAGTGACTTCTTTGTGAGCAGACCAAGATCCACAATAAACTGTCGAGCCACTTATTATGATGATGATGAATTTAAAAATGTCATAATTTCAATTCTTAATATTCATGCTCCAACAAAAACAACAGATGAACTAGTAATCGATCAATTATAAGATCAACTAAAAGTAGAATATCAGTGGATGGTTCCTTAATTGTTTGTTAGTTATTTGTCAAATCATTTACTTATTGTACCGTTGGTACAGATTGTATTACGGATTAAAAAAATGTACCAAAGAATACTCACCTCGAAGAATCTTCCATTGACGTAGTGGAACAATCGGAATGAAGACCGCTGTCGTCGTCGGAATGGGACTTCAGTTGCAGAACAAGAGATCTAAGTTGGCGGTAGACAGACATACACTCTTGAGACAAAGTTGGTTCCGAGATGTCCATTTCTGACAATAGAGATCGCTCTTCACCAGCTGATCGAACAATATACATTCAAGAGTTAGTAACTGGTGTTAGTAACATGATAAAATGGTGGACATTCAATTAGTTAGAAGTCAAAAAGGTAAATATGCAACTATTATTCGTTAAGCAAATTTGTTATAGGATCAAACATGAGTATGGTATATTTCAGCGATCTTGACATATAATATGTACATTTTATAGATAATATAATGATACTAGAATTAAAAAACAGCATATTCATAGACGTGAGGGTGGTCGAACGACATCAATCGCATCTAGCAAAACTAGCTTCAAAGTGCTGATGCTGATCAAAGATGATATTCATAGAGCCTTGTCTCAACCGGTTCAAGAGCAAGATCGGAAATTGATGATATAACTGCAGAGCTTTCCAAAATCTGATATTTTAGATGATCTCCTGCTCTTATATTAGGCCTTAGGTCTATACGTGTCCGATCTTAAGGCTTATTTGTGACGTTAACTGACTTTTAAAGGTTATTCCTGGTAGTCTGGTATGAGTTGGCCTCTCGATAAACTTTCGAATAAATCACAGACATTTTGTGTCATTCCTATAAGCTTGATTCACCATAGCTTTGTGCGGTATAGTTTGTTTTTTACATTTGTATTAATAATAACTTTGTACAGAAAAGTTGAAGAAAAATTATAAAAAAGCTGCAGTAGATATTATCATGAATGCATTCTCTAGCTGTTAGACAATTAACACAAAGTTATGCAGAAACTCACCACTAAGCCTTTCCTCTATCGATAACTTTTCTTGTGGCAAGCTGTATTCCTTCAGGCTCTGTTGGTACCGCATATCCTGCTCCCTAGCGTGTCTTTCTAACATCAGAATTCTATCGGAGGCTTCCTCTAATGCTAGAGCTATGCTGTCTCTATCGGATGCTGCTACCTGTAGGCGCCTTTCCAGTTCCTGATTTTTTTCACTGGCTATTTCTAGTTCGTCTCTAAGACCGCTGACGCTATTCATGTGTTCCTAGAAGAAAATTGACTTAAATTGTAAAATTAATTTTACAGTAATGACAAAGATGTTATAAAAATATTCTAAGATTCAAGTTATTTAACTGATGGCCGCACACAAACATACATTAATCCTTTGCCACATAGTGGGTCATATATGGCACAATACTTAGTTGTTTACCTAACCGATAGAGATCGAATCTTATTTTAAAGTATTTATGCATGATATGTCCATATAAAGCATATATTTCGTATAACCGGCAATAAAGCGCCATCTCAATGCAGCAAAGTGAAATTTTATGAAAATTTTCAAATGGTCGCGGTCTGATAGCTGTTCATAAGAATTGTGCAAATTGATATTCAATTATCGAAGTTTCTACTAAATATTTTTGTACAAAAAAAAGTGCAATTCTCAACTTGTTCCGAGATGGTGAACTTTTTAGTCCAAAACGTTTTGTGATGTAACCCGAAAGGGTCTTTGTAATCATATACTTTTTATAAGTGATTTTTTAATAAAGCTTTTATTAAAATTTATCTCCTTCTGGTTAATAATCGTTTACAAATGATAAACTAATTAAGAATTACTTCAACATTATTTTGGAAACGATTTTCTACGAATATAAAATCTTACCTGTAAACTGCTCTTTCCCAAACTTAACCTCTCTTTGTATTCATCGATCTCCCTCGCAAGATGTTGTTCTTTATGTGCTGCGTCCTTCAGCTGAGACGTCAGTCTGGTGTTTTGAGCTGTCAACTCCGCCATCAGACCGCTCTTGTCCCGTTCCCATTGTTTCAGAAGATTGTCTTTGGCTTGAAGCTTTGATGTGAGTTCCGTAACGTCGTTTTGGAGTTCTATTATTCTGGCATCTAGTTCGGATTCTTTAGAGTGGAGTTTCCGTCGAAGGATGTGGCGGTCTTGTTCGAGTGACTGAAAGAAAATAAGAAAACTTTATTAGTGTATACGGAAAACTATTTACAGAATATTTGCTACAAGAGAAAAGTATATCTTAGAGGTTACTTAAGAAGCTTAGCAACAATCAATGGCTTGCAAATTACTGAAGAACAGACGTGTTTTGAGTGCTTTAGCAGTTTCCACAAACGATTAGAGTCCAATATTAATTTTGTTAATCGTATTAAACCTTCGTCGTTCCTATAAACAAACGAACCAAGCAGACGAATCGCATTCATTTCACTGTGAATGATCTATCAGATCGATTGAAGAGCATGGGGTTCAATGAATTCCCTTGTCTTATTCCGCTACCTATTTCTATACGTTCTATAAGTTGTCCATGACTTTTTGTTGTTTTGGTAGATGCTTTCAAAGGTTTTTATAATCTTTAGGGGACCTTCTCTATTATACAGAAGATGGATTATATCTTTGAGTCTTACCATGTCTAACGCTTTTTTTAGGTCAATCAGACACAGAAATGCTGGTCTATTATACTAAAATGATTTCTTAGTAATTTGCTTTATAACGAATATTGCATCTGTACACGATTTTCCAATACGAAAACCATGTTGTTCATCTGTTAAATTTATCCTCTGATTTATTAGCACTTGTAAAATTTTAGTTGTAACTTTTAGCGTAGTATTTGACAGGTTTATACCTCTGTAGTTTTCTGGCTGTTTCTATCTGGTTAGGTTCTTTATTTCAAAAAATCATTTATCTGTTGTTCAAATATTACTTTACATGATCCGCTAATAATATGCATATTCCAATATGCAATAGGAATGAAGTAGTATGTAAAGAACAATTCATATGAACTTGCACGAGTTAACTGAATGGGAGATTTCAAGTTGCATTACCATTTAGCGAAAATTCAGAGAATAACTAATGAAGTAACTAATGAAGTAACTCTTATAGGTTGTTAGAGAATGAACTGCAGTATTTGTACATTACTAAATTAACAAACTGAACTTTCAGTCGGGATATACTTTTATATATAAAAATAACACTGGAAAAAAACCCAGCAGTTAAAATAAGGTCCTAGTATTTTAATTTGTGTATAAATAAATATTTTCTGGTCTTCGAGGTAAAATAATTTCTGGCTTTTCCTCAAAAAAGGCAGCCTCTGGGACCCTAGTTAAGAAAGAGAGAATAAAAAGCAGGAAATAATTAAAATTATTTAATTAAAGGACAAAGGATATAGTTATTAAAATACAAAAAATACATTTTCATTTTATTGTATCATTTATTATTATTATAAAACAGGATAGAAAAAATTATTAACAAATACAAAGACACTTAAAAAAATATACCTGTGATATATTATACTCATCCTGAACGAGAATAGGCTGTCTTTAAGAAAGGATATCAAACTAAAACTACACTCTAATCCATCATTAAGTATAATGAATTATTGTCTTTATGTATGTCAACCATAACAATTTCGTAGTTTGTCACAGCACGACGCAATTCAAGGTAAAAAGAAAGTGAAATAGAATTTTAAGATAAATTAAGACAATCAAAAAAAGTCTACCTTGTCCATTGTATTAAAATATTATTTTAAATATGTCTCCAGAATGCAGAGGAGTATGTAGAGCGTGATAATGCTGGCGTTTGTCACGTACCTTAGTGAAGAACAAGTATTTAGTGCAGTTAAAAGGTTATTAAATAAAAAATATTATTTGGGGATTCAGAAATAATTAGAATTTGGAAGTTCTTCCTCTTTGAGTTAATGAAGACAACTTGAGCCTTCTTATTCGGGTTTCATAGTTTAATCTTACCATATTTAAAAGGTAGCTTAGTAGCTCTTCGTTATACTCTTAATAAATTAACGTTCCTTTGTAATTTGGGTCACCAAACTTTCACTTGTAACCCAGAAAGTCACGGCGAAATAAGATCTAAAATAGAGCAGGCTAAAGCTGCTTTTTAGAAGGTTGTTCAAGGTGTTATGCAACAGAGACCTAAAATTGGAATTGAGGATCCGCCTACTTCGCTGCTACGTGTTCTCGGTCTTACTTTATGATGTCGAGTCCCGGACTGTGAATAACATCGATCTAAATCGCCTTGAGGCTTTCGAAATATGGTGCTATAGAAGAATTTTAAAAGTTTCCTGGGTGGAGAAGATTCGAAACTCCACAATATTAGAACGTCACAGCAAGACTACTGAGATAATAAAAAACATCAAGCAGAGAAAGCTGGAGTATTTCGGACATGTAATGAGAGGTCCCAAATATAGGTTGCTACAAAATATCATGCAAGCAAAAATAGAAGGCAAATGAAGTCCAAGACGAAGAAGAACCTCATGGTTGAAGAACTTGCGAGATTGATATGGTGTTGATAGAAGCATGATATGTAGAGTGGCAGTGAATAAAATTAAGATAACTATGATAGTAACCAACGTTCTAAAAGGACATGGTACATGAAGAAGAAAAGAAACTTCCACTGCAAATTCTAGATTTGACATAACTTTGTAGAGTATCAAAAATAAGTCTGGAGACATTTTATGAAAAGCTTTTGATATAAAATATAGTAGAGTTCTCTTTACTAACTACTTTTGCTATTTGAGTAGACCAACTCAATATTTGGTTGGTCGTAACACCGAGATCAACAACTTTATGTACCGATCTCAGACTCAGATTTTTGACTTGTAAAAAATACTTTTGTAATAATTTCTAACCAATAAACCATATATCTATCTATATTAAATGTTATAATATATAATTTCTTTATAGTTATTCAACGAATTATTACATGAATACCTATCCAAATCCGATTGCACCAGAAATATCCATTTGAGCTTGTGTCTGAAGAACTACATGATCCAAAATACCTGTTGGTGAAAGATAATGAATTTCACTAATATTTCCTTTCACATTATGAGTGATTATCAAGTCTAAAATTGAAGGTGTATTACCTTGACGATATCTAATAGGTTGTGTTACAAAACGGAGTCAGCAGAGGAAACTGTCGGAAAAGGCAAAAGGCAAAGAAATGCGGAATGGTATGATGATGAATGCACAACTGCAGTAGAGGAAAAAAGGCAAGCTAGGCTTAACCAACTTCAAAGAAACACAAGAAATAGCAGTGAGATTTATAACGAAAAAAGAATACAAGCGACTAGAATATGCAGAAGAAAGAAAAGAGAGGCTATGAAAAACCAAGTATAAGACATCGTAAAGCATAACAACAGACACGAATGCAGAAAATTCTATAAATGCATAAAAGAAAGCACACAGTCATTTAGACCAAAACTAACGATATGCAAGGACAAGGACGGAGAACTACTAATAGAGAAGCAAAAAATTATGATGAGATGGAAACAATATTTCGAAGAAAATCTAAATGCAGACAACAAAAATGATCAGAACGAGACAATATATTATACGGCGGAGCTGCACATCGAAAATCCGAGTTATGAAGAAATAGTTAAGATAATAAATAAACTAAAAAACAATAAAGCACCGGGAACGGACAGAATTTCGACAGAATTATTAAAGCATGGAGGATCCGAACTCTGAGAAAGAATCCATTACCTAATAACATTACTATGGACGAAGGAGCAAATGCCAGAGGAATGGACAGTTGGCCTCATACAGCCAATATATAAAAAAGGAGATAAGAGGTAATGCCAGAATTATAGGCCAATTACATTGCCAAATGTAATAAACAAAATTCTTTTTGGTATAATCTACAATAGATTATTAGAATACTCCGAAAATATAATTGAAGATTATCAAAATGGATTCAGACCAAATAGAGCCACTACAGATAACATATTCATACTAAGAACGATACAAGATAAAGCTTATGAATACGACATAGATCTATATAATATGTATATAGACTTTAAACAAACTTTTGATAGTGTGAAAAGAGACAGAATGCTGGAAGACATTTGTAATCTAGGTATACCTAAGAAATACATCAGCCTCACAAAAATGACGTTGTAGGGTTCAAAAGCCGCAGTCAGAGTAGATGAAGAACTGACTCCCCTGTTTAACATTAACATTTGAGTAAGACAGGGAGATGCCCTATCAACCATGCTATTCAACCTAGTTCTTGAGGCAGTCATCAGAAAAACCAATATAACCGGCCATATAAACACAAAATCAGTACAAAATACTGCATATGCAGATGATGTAGCCATCATTAGTAGGAATAAGCCACGACTAATGGAAGTGTTCAAACAAATTGATCCTGAAGCAAGAAAACGAAGTCTCAAAATAAACGAAGCAAAAACGAAGTATATGACAGTCAAAAGAATAACTGACAATGAAAATAATATCACAATAGACAACTATACTATCGAACGAGTGAATGCCTTTACATATCTCGGCACAGAAATCAATCAGAAGAACTCCGTAAGTAGCGAAATTAATGCACGTATTTCCAGCGGGAATCATACATACTATGCTAATAAAAGATTGATGACATCGAAATTATTAGACAAAAGAACCAAAATGACTATCTACAGAACACTGATTAGACCCGTAGTAACCTATGGATGTGAAACTTGGGTAATGACGAAAAAGATGAAGCTCAACTAAGGACATTCGAGAGAAAAATACTGAGGAATGTATATGGCCCGGTACAAGAGGAAGATGGCACATGGAGAATCAGGAGAAACGACAAGGTTAATGAGTTAAATGAAGGTTATTACATTGTAAGATTTGTGAAAAGTCAAAGACTGCCATGGCTGGGACATGTGCAGAGACAAAACGATGCAAAAACAACGAAGAAAATGTTACAATGGAAGCCCATAGGAAGGCGAAAAAAAGGAAGGCCCAGAACGAGAAGGTTGGATGACGTGAAAGACGACCTGAAAACAATGAACATAAGACAATGGAGAAGAAGGGCACAATAAAGATCTGAATGGAAGAACATAGCCAGACAGGCAAAGACCCATCCAGGGTTATGATGCCAAAAGAAGAAGAAGAAGTGTTACAAATCGGTTCAGATTAGTTTTAAAAAATATATTTTAA